ATGACGTCCAAAAATATGTAAGTAAATTTAGAGTTCAGACCACCCAAAAATATTTTGAAATTAAAATAAAGAAAAAAAATAGTTTTAATATTTGATTTTTGAGAAGTTTTCTTTAGATTTGATTTTATCAGAAGTGAGGAAAAATATTTGTCATATTTTATTGGTAATGTCGAAATTCATTTTTAGACAGTGAGGAGACAGTGATTCATTTTTAGACAGTGACATAATAATAATTCAAAATTATTATTATGTCAGTTTTACGAGTATTGTACTATTGATATTTTCCACATTTCCAACCAATTCCATTTTCATCTTTTTTTAGACTGTACTTGAGTATGGTCTTTCTACAAAAATCTAATTTCTAATGTTTATTGTACAAAAAATTTATTAACTTTAATTAAATTTTTAATTTTTTCTCTTTTTTTTTTTCATTTACTACAGGCAGGACGATGTTTTTGTATGGCCTAATAAAGTCTATGTTTGAATAACACGTGTCATTGGATTTATTTATACTAGGATTTGTGATTAGCGGCGTAGCTATCTACTCCTAATATTGATTTAGTAGAAAGCATTTTGTTCCGTAAGATGTCGATACGGATCTGCATAGCTATGAGCCCTTCCAAAAATAAATAATTTTTGATGGCGTGTTTAATCAACTAATACATTGTATACATAAATTTAAAACTATTGATATTTATTCTGCACTTCAATCTTAATTTATAGACCCCAAGTCTACATAACAATGTTAAATTTTGCAGATGATTTGGGTAATTATTTTTATATTGATTTTTATACTGCTACATATATATTAAGTTTATAATTTACAATTTTTAGTAATAAGTATCAAGCTATATTTCATGTCTTTTATAAGGATTTAACCAGTATTAGAGCCAAGGACTTTAAGTATGAGACAAAGCGGTGCGACAAACTCCGCACCTTTCATCGTTTAGTTTGAAGCCAACAAACTAAATCAACATTTGAATATAAGTTTAAGAAATCTGACGTTTGCTACTTGATTTAATCTTGTAAACTGAATATAACCCAATATATTGCAAAATGTATAATACAAATTAAAAAAAAATATTTTGTAACACTTAATCCTCACTTCTATCTCATCTGTTACATTTACAATTTATAGTATGTCGCAAACTGAAAAAAAAATTTCATAAAAATATTCAGTTTATGTCGCTAAATATTTTTTTTTGTAGGAATGAATTTTAAGTATGCATGATGAATACATTAAGGACAAGAGTATTCCGTAATTTAATATTAAACGTGTTCCCTGCCATTTTTTTAAGTGTGTTTTAATTTTGTTTAAATTAATATGCAGCATGGCTGTTTATTTTTTTTAATTATAACTTTTTTTTTTACATATCGAGTTTTATTTTTGCTTTCAAATGCAATTTAATATTCAGAATAATATTCAATATCAACCATATACAGTTTTTTTTAAAAAGTAAAAAAAAAATAGAAAAATGAAAAGAATTTTAATTCACCTGCACCAATACAAGGCTACATTAGATTATTAAGTAAAAAAAAATTAAAGGAATCTAAAATATTGAATTTATTTGTGTAGGTATTTGTATACACAATAAAATGAGTAGAAATTGATAGCATCTATGAAATCTTTTTCGAATAGCTAGTCCTTATTTTTCATTTCTAATCAACAAAATATTCAATTTTTAAAGATTTTTTGTTGTATAGACTTCAAAAATGTGTTATGATTAGAATAAAAATTTCATCCTTTTAAAATTAAATTAAAAATATAATTGAAGGGCAATCCAATTTACATTTTGAATGGTAGATGAATTATTCAAAGGAGAAGTGTAAATTTTATCTTTATTTTGTGTAGCTTTTTAATTATATTAATCCATATATGTATGTATGTATAATGTTGATTATACATATTAATCCAGTCAGTTTGAATGTAAATTTTATGCTATCGTTTATTGTTATGATTTAAATTATGTCAAAAATTCTGACGTTGTGAAAAAGTAACATTGCGCTGTGATCTTGTTATATTAAGGTTAAAGTTTGTATCATCAGTAACTTCACCCGTGTGTAAAAAATGATAAACGACTTAGGGAACATCAAAGATGATCTCATTTGAAAAATTTTAAAAGAAAAAAAAAAGAAATGAATAAATAGAACACAAGTGTTGCATTGATTAAATTCAAAGATTGCCCGATCAAAAAACAGTTTTGATTTTCGCTTTAAAAAACAATACATAATAAAAAAATGCAATAAAAATTTTTACAAGATCATATTTTTTTCTTCATCTATTTAAGGATAACAAAAATTTTTATTTAATTCATATTTGTATGCGTGCCAGCAAATGAATACCAGCTCTCAAAAATTATTAAAGAAAAACGAAATTAGAGATAAAGATATCCTGTTTTTGTTCTTTTAGTATGAAAACTCTTGAAAAATAATATTTTTCTTTTACTTTGATATTAGGAAAAAAAAATTATACATAGATAAAAATTTCTAGCTTGTTGAATATTATGTTTTCAAAGAATTTTCGAAAAGTACAGTTTTTTTAAGTTGCATTGCGTTGGAGTAACAAAAATAAAACAAAAAAAGTAAAAAAACAAAAATCTTTACAAAAAACGAAATTTTTTTTTATAGAAATGTCTAAAGGCATTTATTTTTTTTAATATCCTTTTTTTTTTTTTTAAATTTCTTTGTCGTTGTCGTCGCCGTATAGTCATCGTCAGGAGGTACCAACATAAAGCAACTATACATATATACATTTTTTGTACTTAGCAAATTTTAAACGCATTCATTTGTCTTCTTTCTGAAAAGACAAAGAAAAAAGAAGCGTTCCCAAATTGTTTTTTTTTTTTTAGATACCTAGTTTTACAAATGTATGGGTAGAGGTACCTGAAAATTCAAATACGTTTTACCATTATGAAAGATTTTTGTACGTACTGAAATTGGAGTTTTACTCAAAGGAAACTTATGTATGTTTGAAATAAGGAACAAAATACACTATGTGAAATGGTTGAATAACAAAAACTGAAATATAAAATTAGTAAAATTTAAAATATTTTTTTTTTTTAAATAAACAATTTCTTGGCAATAGAAATGGATTTTTCTTATGGTTGTTTTTTTTTTGTTTTTGTATTTTTTATTTTCATTTTGCATTTAAAAGTGTAAAATAAAAAGAAAAAAGCCATCTGTTTTCTTTACTTTTAGAAATTAAAAACACAAAAAAAAACAAAACGAATCCTTATTTTTTCCAGTGTAATTTATGATTGTACACAAAAATGAAATATCAAAAGAAATATTTGCCTAGGATCTTAGCTAGGATTTAATTTGTAAACATTAATAATATTTTTGTGTTAAAAGACTATAGAAAATTTTATAAAAATTGTTTTTTATATTATTTTATTCTTTTATACTCGTATTTATTTGTTAAAAAGAGGACCAAATCTAAGCAGATGTTTGTTTTTTTAAAGTCGCCATTGTAAGATAGTTTCGGTTTTCGTTTTTTTTTTTTTTTAATAATGGGGATTTCATATAGAACGCATAAGTTTAAAAGTTTATGCCATAAGTGAGTTTGTTCTTATTTTCTTTATTGCTTGGTTTTTGGTTGTTGTTGTGTTGACTTTGTTTTATGCACGCGAACGACACTCGAATGTCAATTACATTTATTGTGAATATTTTCGTAAAAATTTTAATTAATCATTGAATATACAGGAGCAATTAGTAATTTTTTTTATTATGATGCAGGTATTCTCAATCATCATTCCTGCTTCTTAATAAAAATTTGAATACAAAATTTTTATTTTACTGTCCTTTTTAATCTAATATATTATCCAATTAAATTTTCAGAGAATATATTTAAATCAAATTGTGATACCTAAACCAAATAAGTGCTGCAGAATTGTAATAAAGAAATTAAAAGAAAGCCACTAATTGGTATCTGCAAAGTCTCAAGATTTAAGATTTCATTGGCGAGAAACTCACACTGTAAACCTATTAGTAAAAGTAAACGTAAAGCAACCAACGTAGATTAGGTATTAGCAGCCAATAAGAAATGAGGAATACAAATCGGACAATTAGAAAAACTCTGGTTATGGAACCTTATGCGGAATATAAAACAACGTGGAAAAATGCAAATTCCTAGATAATAGAATATAATTTGTTTGCAATGGTAGTTAAACACAACGTAGTGAACTGAACACAACATTTTTTTTTTGAATTCTTGTGCTTTGTACTCATATGAACATATAAGGACAAATGGGTGAGTGATTTAGAAAATAATTGCTTTAATTTTAAAAATTTATTCTAATTTGAGAAATTATATTGATACGTTTGATGCCTTTTTGTTTAAATTTGTATATACTTCAACAAATTTATGGTGCACTAGAAAATATTTGGACACTGGCCAATATTATTTAAAGAAGGTTAAAATTATTGTTATTTTAACTTTAAATTATTATAAATTTTTTTAGATTCAATAATGAATTCGTCTTCCAATTATTAGGTAATTATTGCAATAATTTAAAATATTTGTTCAATAATTAAACCTTGGTGTTAACATTGTAAATATTTAATTATTCATTTAATATCACTTCAGTTGTGATATTTGTTAGAAAACTACGAAATTTAAGCTAAAATATTCTTTTTTTAAAATTGTTGCAATTATTAAATAATTTATTTTATAACGTAGGAAAGGTTTATTTTCTGGGTTTTCTAGTTCTCTTTTGTTTGATTTTGTTTATAATTTTCCTCTTTATTTAATTCATAATTTTTATTTTGTTTATAATTTTCCTATTTATAACATTTTATTTAAAAATCCACACTGTAGAGTACTTTAACTTTGAATGATAAAATTTTATTTCAATGAAAGAAATGAAAATTACCCACAGACGAACAAAAGGACAAAACAGGATAATTGTGGAAAAACTGAGGTATTTTTTGTTTTTGAATAATTCATTTGTGTATGTATACACATATATATACACACAAACTAGAAATTAAATTTAACTTACCCGTAGAGTAATGCTGCACCAGCTATTCCACCCCCACATTGTGCAGTTATATACATTGCAGCACGTAATGGTGTTATTGCTCGTACTGTACAAGTTGCTAGTGTCACAGCCGGATTAATATGTGCACCTACAAGTACATGTATATATATATATAATTAAAATTCATAAAAAATAGTATATAATGTATAGCTAGGGTTTGGTTTACTTATATTGTTTGATTACGTATTTGTAGTATAGAAAAAGATAAAATGAGAACGGAGACTTAGGATAGATTTTAAATATAATGTTATTATGTGAGTGTGCACACATGACACAAACAGAAATATCATGTAGATTTAATTTTGCGAATTTACATCATGTACAGAATTAAAACTGGAAAATTAAAGTTATAACATGTAATATATATGCTTTAAAGTAGAGTGGAAAGCTGTAAAATAGAAAAAAAGTTAGTTTACATTTACGAGTCCTTATACATAAGTACGTTTATTCATAAAAACATACGTTACAACAACTGATTTATTAGGTTGATTAACAAAAAACTTACGATTTGTTTTTTTCTTTTTAAATGAGTAATTTTGAATTATTGACATTTAACCAAAGGTATGGCGCAAATTTTGCTTCAAATAAGTGACGCAGAATAAGAATTTTGCACCTGAGCACTTGTACAAATTCAAAAATTAAGTTCAACTGTGATATGAAATTTATCTTGTTGTGAAAAGAAGTGCCTATATCGTTTCATTTGAAAGTCTTTTCGATTCAAGTTCAGCTAAACTGATTTTGATAAAATTTTATATGTGAGATTATTCGGGTTATGTCACGGATTGATCTACTTCTGGGATGTGTCAGATCTCGGGTACTGGACCTTTTTGTGAGTCGATTTTAAATTTAGTATTTGAGTTCTGGTTGGTAACGAAATTTAATAGCAAATTTTTCAATTAATTCGGATGGTGCAAAACGAGACTTTACTAAGACCCATTTGACATTTTCCAGTTGACTATGCCGGTTGACATTCGACAGGCGATGGTTGACATTTGGCAGGTGGCAGTTGATATTTGACATTTGACAGGTGACAGTTGGCAGTTGAGATTTACAGATGACAGGTGAAACTTGATAAGAGACTGTTGACAATTGATAGATAACAGATGAAATTTATATTTATGTCCATTTTTCTCATATTCATATATTTTTGCATGTATTATTGCTAAAATCAAGTAAAAGTTGTTACTGGGCGCATTGCATACAGTAAGGGAAGTTATTTGATGGCATCAATTTTCGGTGCGAGTTTTCGATTGGAACCCACTTGCCCAAAGCAACAGGCGAACTTTTCAGCTCAGTGTTTTTAAAATTATACAAAATTGTTTAAAACGCTTTTTCATAAACTTTTGTAACACTTTCACTAAACTAAACAATATACGGTTATACAGTTATTGTTGTCGGGTATGTGCTGACATTACATCAGATTTGTTTTCCCTGGATTACTTATTGTGTTTCATATAAAACTTGTTATTATGTTTATTGAAATTTGCTTTGAACTAATTACTTAACTACTGCTTCGTATTTGCGTATAAATAGTACCGTTTGAATAACGCAAATTTTCTTGAATCAAATTGATCAAATTTGATTCATCAAGTAAGATTGATCAAACCTGGTTTATCAAGTTTCATTTATAGTACAAGTTTTTTAAGTTTGATCAATTGATTTTAGTTAATAAAATTTTGAGATGTAAGCTAAAAATGGTTGAAAACAGTTTGTCAACTTTAGTTGGCCAAATCTGGTTTAACAAGTCATATTAAATAAATTTACCCCATCAACTCTTAATATCACGTTTTAATTGATTCTTAAAATTTTAAAACGTAAAACTGGTCACCTTGACAACGCTCATGTGTTAACATTTATATAAACTTAATGCTTAAGTGAAAATTAATTTAAGATTTCTACAAAATCCAATTAAAAATTACACTTTTAGAAGTTTATATAGAATATTTTTTTGTAACTTATGAATTCAAAAAAGGATAAGCGAATGTAGTCAAACAAAAAGTTGTGCAAAACAAAAATTTAATTTTTATTTTACTTTTTAATTTTTCCTTTGAGTGACATACTTTGCATTTATTATTATAATAATTATTATATGAAATGGAATAAGAATTAACCGCGTACATTTAAAATAACTATGTTTGTGTAGGAAGAGAAATGAGAGTAACATGGTGACATATGAATATTTCAGATTCTTTTAAAATAATTTAATTGAACGATTCACTAAGTATTTTATTCTACCTTACGCATCTATAATTTAAAAAATTCTGAATTTCAAAAAAAAAAAAGATACTGTTTTTATATATACAAAGTATTTTTAATAAAAATACAAAGTTTGTTTTAAATTCAACACCTACTTAAATTATAAAGTATAAAGTATGTACGTAACATTAACATTTTCTACGTTTGTACATATATTCATACATGTGTAGGTATGTACATGCATATGTATTAAAATATTATAAAAGAATCAGAGCATAAAATTAGAAAACTTTATTCAAATGAAAAAAAAAAAAGTATATTTTGAGGTAATGGGGTTATTTTGAGCCAAAAAGCTACCAAAGTAAAAACAAAAAAAATATACACTTAATTCTTTAATTTTTATAAATTATAATATTTTATACTTATATACATAAGTATATAATGAACCGACATATAACACATTTATATGCTCGTATAATAGTTATAGACTCAGACACTTGTAATATTCATATAGCTATCATATAGTATTAATACGAGAGCTGGATATTTCGTATTTTTTTTTTAGAAAAAAAAGGCTTGAATTGTGTCCACAAAGTGTCATAAAAAAAACAAAATGAAGATTAACCTTGAGGGGAAATATTTCGAAAAAAAATTAAAACTAATTAATTAAAAGTTTTACTACAAAAATACATTTCAATTCTATTAAAATTCCTGATTCTTTTTTTTTGAAATTATATAAAAAATGGGATAATTGAGAAATTGAATACACTTTTTTATAAGTATAAAATAAATTTTAATTGTTATACGAGTATTACAAGCAAAAAGAAAGAGTATTACGAGCAAAAAAGAATTTCAAATACAAATTATGTTAGGAATTTTTTAATTTCCATTATTTACTGTGAAATAACATAATTAAATGAGAATGAAATCCAATAATTTGGGGCGTTTAATCGCTTAATTTAAGTGTCAAACGAAAATCCCGAAAAATACAGATATTAGTTGTTATTTAAATAAGTGTCAATTAAATGAAGGCTTGCATTAATAATGATTTAAACCCTTCAACGGGCTTTCTCCGACCAATAACATTAAATTGTTTCATTAAGTGTACTACATACACGCATCCTTCATTAATTTGGCATCGAAGAATTTTCGAACCGTCAGAAAATGCTTCGATGCCAAAAATTGTGGAATCTGTTTAATTAAATCATTTTACCATACCAAATACGGGTGTAGACGTAGCTATTTTGCAGCTTCAATAGTATAATTTAAAATTTTTGTTGATATTCACACTTTAATAAATAAAATTTTTATTAAATTTTTAATAAAATAACATAATTAGATACATTTTATGCACGTTTCTTTTTCTTTTAAATTTCTCTTTATCATACAAAATTACTTCTTATTATTCATTTATTAAGTATATAGAATGTTTAAGTTAAAATTTATTATTTTAAAAATTAAAACAAGAAAATAAATAAATTTACAGAATTCTTAAAGAAGTTAGAAATTTTTTTTGTTATTTTTTTTATAGAAAATTATTATGTTTTATAATTAAAAAATTTAACATAAATATTTGGCGTAAAAAGTATTCTAAGAGAAATTTGTAAGCATAAATTCTTTAAGTTATAAGTATAAACATTCTTGTACAGTAAACCCCAAATGATGTGTACGAAGTTATTTCTGGTTATAAGGTTTAAAAAAAAACCCGTCTTGAAAAGACCTACTTTATTGTATAAATGTAAAATTGTAGCAAGCATAAATTAAATTGATTCTGAATATGAAAGAAATTAAAGCTATTCATCGGAATATACGTAACTAGTTTCCTGAAATACTTTGTATACAAGTTGGTTTAGTTCTGGGTATTATACTTTTGGAGTGTTTACGTAATAGGTGTATATGACTTTAAAACGGGGGTAAAAGTTCATTAGTGTTATTGTGTGTCGGGTGAACGAATAGTGTAGTATGCCTGTATAATGTATGTCGTTTGTGTATGCATATATGATATAAGTACAGATAGGTGTGATAATGTATTAGATATTATGTATGTAGGTATAAACAAAAATTTTTTGTATAACATATATTTTGTGTTTTTATAATTATCTTAAGGATAATATGTAAATGCAGGGATTCATACATTATGTACAACATACATATATACGAGTACATATGTACATAAAATGTTTTGTATGGAAAATAATACGCTAATACAAAAAATATGTATATGTGTGTAGAGAACATTTAAAGTTTTTATTTTGTGCTTTTATTTAATTTTCAAGGATGTGAAAGAATAACAAATTTATTTTGATAGAAAAATAAAATAATTTCCGGATTTTTACATTATGAAATAATAAGAAGCTTTTTTTTTCTTTCAAATACAAAATTTTTCTTAAAATATTTTTTCTCTCATAATATATTAAAAAAGAAAATTTAAATTAATTTGAATGTTAAAATGACCTTTAATTTTATCACATTTTTCAAATATAGTGTTAGAACACTTTTATAATTTAGGTATTCAGAATTGAATGAATATTTCTTGTATTAATTAATAAAATTGTTGACTTATTATAATAATTCGATTGGTTTGATTATACTGACGGTATTTGGAGAATTTTGCCTTTTACTGATTCAGAAATTAAGACCTGTGCTTGTTAATTCTAGAATTGTGGACTAATTAATTTTATAGGCTACTATTATGCTTTTATCAAATGAAATTATTCGACTTCTTATCTTAATTATTACATTTAATTTTAAATTTTATATCGTTCAAACTTACTTTGGTAACCAAGAAGAAAAATTATTTTGAAAGAAATTCAAATTCTTAGCAACGCAAGACATAGTTTCATAATCCCTACTCCAAACCTGACAATATCTCAAGAACTTAAAAAGAAGGGTGACAGAGAAAAAAAAAACTTTTTACAATGATAATGGCACGATATAAAAAAAATACAAATAAAATAACAAAATTGAAAAACTCTATATATTTTGTGTTTTTTCGGTATTAAAGTAAAAACAAAAGGAAACTGGTGAAATGAGAAGAAAATCCAGAGATTTTCCTTAACTGTCTTCGATTCAGTTATAAATATTATCCTGTTTAAAGTAAATCACATTTTAAGGATATTAAAATAAGGATGTGTACAACTTATTTTCCGTATAGATTCTTTTTTTTTTATTTTATTTAATTTTACTTTCTCTTCCGCTTTGAATATTAAATGAGGATTTTGAAAAATCGTGATGAATCCTTTTTTTTGTTTCGTTTTCATTTTTGAGATCGTTAGTGTTAAAAGTATTTAAGTATTTGAATTTATTTTTATTTTTTCTAAATTTATATACAATTATATATTGCCTATACCTATATTTGCTTTAGTATGATTAAATTGCTAAAATTTATGTTATTGGATTAGAAAAGAAAATTACAAGATTGGAAAGGGATTTTATTAGTAATAGTAATTTAGAAAACAATAATTAGGATCACCGCATTAATTTCAATACAAATTTGGAAAGTAAAATTGCGTGAATGTATAGATTGTGTAATTGAATATCTTAAAGTTGTTTTGAAAGGTTTACGAAGAGATTCTAAGAAAAAGATCTTATTGATGGAAACATAAAAATGTTTAGAATTTATACACACCACTTTCTCGTAATCTTTTAAATTATTACTTTACTGCAATTTTTTCGTATTTTTATTCCTAAATTACATTATGTAATAAAAAATTATTACTATACAAGCTAAAATCACATGTTGTGCATATATATTTATGATTTTTAAATTTACAGAAAATTAAACAAAACATAATTAATAAACACCATAATATAAAATTTTAAAAATTAAGTCGATAAAAATAGTGTGGCTTGAGAAGAAGCACATTTTTTTTTAAAAGTTTGATTTAAAAAACAAATTTTTTTTTCCGAATATAAAGATTCTTTAATACTATAAATTATCTTTGTTATTGTGCATGTGTAATTTATTTCGAAGATGTAGAATATGATGGAAAGGAAATATTGGAAATGTACTTGTGAATCCTAAAATTTTTATCTTCAGCTTTTGTAGATGAATACTTAGGCGGCCAGATGGAATAATTTATACAGATATAAATTGATAACATTTTTTTAGGATTTTTATTTTTGAACATGTGTTTCTTATATAAAAATACATACATAGACATGTACGTACACTATTTCTTTCTTTATGCTTTCATATACTTTTTCCTTATATTCTCATTTTTATCACTATAACTAAGCTTATGTTTTCATATAATGTGTTTTTTATAAATCATATGAGAATTTTAATATTTTTGTTAACTTTATTATTAAAGTTATCAACGTTTTTGTTTTTTATATAAAATTGTACATATGTACATATGTATGTTTATGCAAAAATGGAAAACTCATAACATTAAATAATAAAAGTATGCAAATATGTTTGTGTAGGTTATGTTATTATTTTAGAAAGAACACTTTTTAAAAATGTCTAAAAATGATAACTATAGAAGAAAAAACTGTAATAGAAGAGAATGTGGTAGATAAATTCTGGTTTTTTAAAATTATTCAATAAATCTCTGAGAACATGTAACTGAAAGACAGTAAAAAATGTTAAAACCAATTTTTTCGAAAAGGAGCTTTCATATGACATCATAAGATGTAAAGAAAGTTTATTGTTGTTCAAATTTCTAAGTTATCCTTCCGCGTCTGAATAAAAACCGAATCTGACCTTTTAAAAAGTTTGATATTGTTGACGTTGATAGTAAACAATAGTACGCACTATTATTTATATTCGCAAATATTGTGCTACACGTTATTTTACAGATCATATATATGCTATATAAGCAAGTAATTGAATTTATAATCATATAAAAGACTAATAGAAATTTAAATATATTCCCACGATTTCAAAAAGCAAATAACAAAAACAAATTTAAAGAATTTCTCGAAACAAAACATAATTCATTTGGGATGTTCTTTTATTATCCTAGAAGATAAACACATTTACTTAACTTATATTATTACAAAATGCCTGTTTCTATATAAAGGGAGTAATTATCCTTATAATATTACGCATACCTTACATGTATGTATTTAAAAAAAGATTAAAATTATTAATTGTATAAAATTTTTAAAGTAAAAGCAATTAGAATATTTTAAAAATAGATTTAAATTGAACATTTTATAAACACATTTTTGTGTTGATTGTTATGTATAGATTGTTATGTATTGTGTTGATGTATGTATGTGGAGAAATGTATGTGTATTTTTGAATACTCATTTCAATTATTATAGCAAAATTTCTAATTAATTTTCTTTGAAATTAAAAATGAATAATAAGTCAGTAGAGTTTAGGTAGGAAGTTCAATTCAGTAGAAATTGAATTTGTTTTTGTTCTTTCTTAATTTGATTTTAAAGAAATTTTATTTAACGATTTTAGTTTAATCCTAAATAGTTTTATTACATAAAGTAACTAGAATCCGTTGCAAATATGTAAATAATGAAATCAAAGAAAAAAGCATGTAAACAGATACAGTAGATTTTCCAAAATCTGTCATACTTGCCATTTGAATTTTTTGCAGTTTTGCTAAAGCTTTTTTAAAAAGAAATAATTTTTTTTTTATAATTTGAATAGTTTTTCAGATAACGCCAAATTACTTTTGGATTTATATCGCTGTTACTCAAACTGTTATCTCGACTAAACCGGAATTAAATGCAGTTCTAAAGGTTACTGTCATTAACCAAAAATACTATCATAAACCACTTATGAAAGTTTCGTGAACATAGCTCAAATTGTTTTTGTTTTATCGCAGTGAAGGGTAGATGAAAGACGAATGGACAAACAAACCTTAACCGACTCAAAATTCAGTGAAGTTATGAACGAATGAAAATATATACGATGGAAGAGTGATGCAATGTCCTCCTGGCGGGTAATTTTTATGTTATATAGTTCGGTTTATCAATAGTTTACTTGCAGATTTACCGAAATAGGCTTATATTCACACTTTTTGTATCAATATAGGCTGTTATTTCAATATTTTATTTTAAAATTTTAGTCCACATATTACAAGATGTTGTTCGCTATCATAAAAAGTAATTTAGTAAACTTTTTTTTCGAATTCTTACATAAGAACCATTCAGGTTTTCAATATTTCACCCTGTTTCATGATTGTATTAAAATTAAACACTTTTAGATTTGCAATTTTCTTTCAAAGAAGCTGATTGAAATCTAAAAATTTTCTATTTCTTTACTAAAACTTCGATAAGTTTAATTCATATACAGAAAGCAATAAATGTTATAACAATAATTATTACTTAGAATTAATTGAATGCCTTCATCATCATTCAAAAGTTTTATTTCATGCATTTCAGTTCCCTTTTCTTCATTATTACTAAGTATAAGATAACAATATAAAACAACATTTTTTTTTGTAATAAATTAATGGTAATTTTAAATTAAGAAAATTCTCTTTTGTATTTACCGATTTCAATATTCTTTTCTCACACACTCTTTAGTGTTATATTTTAAGAACAAAATTTTTTGTAAGAAAGCCTCGCGGTTTTTTCAAACGGCACACTTTAAATAAAACTAAAACTTCAGAATATAATAAATTGAATATAAAAGAACCGCCAACTTATGTATTTTCATAATAGTTTAAATTCTCTGACTGATATAGAGTGCCATTAAAAGTGTAACTACTGTACTTCATTTTCTCATTTGTATAAAACATTTAAGTTTAAAACTGTGAAAATAAAATTTCTTTTCACAATTTATTTCATATTATGCTTAAGAGGTTCACAATGTACTGAAACAAAAGTCTTTAAAATCTCTATACAAATTGATATCGAAATATATGTCAAAAGGTGTTTGTATTTCATTGACTAAGAAATTAAATAAAAAATAAAGAAACTCGACAAAATTTGTAAGTTCCAATAGAGTAATGGATTTGAAATTTGTACTAGAGTGGGGTTTTAATAGAAAATATCATATTTGATTTCTTATGAATGAATAATGCGAATAGAGTTGGCAAATGTTACTTCTAAACGTAATTTTGAAATTATCAAATTTTGAAAGTTGATTAACCGAATCTTGTTTTTGTTCACATTATGAAAGTAAAACTTGAATTCTGACTGACTCTAATCTATAATAAATGACTTTTAGAATTGTTTAGGAGGAATATTTTAAAGGACATTTTATAACTCAGGTAAATTGGTTTTCAAATATTCAGTAGAGAAATGTAATAACCATAAATTTCATTTGTAAAGGAAATGGTATTTTCTTATATATTATTCTTATTCTCTTAAATAATTTATAATTTTTTTCCCACAATTTACTTGTACAAGTCCATTCATATATCATTAATGTTTCTCTTTTGAACGCATTGGTTTCAAAAACATAAACAAGAAAACTAAAGAAAAAAATAAAACACTTTCATAAATATTCTATTTATGGGGCCATTGTATTGAATTGAATTCTAAAAATTCAACAAAGTAGAATTAAAAAAAACTAAAATAAGAGCAAAAGGAATAGAGAATAACTTATGATAATCTTAATTAAAAAAAAAATGTTGTCAATCGCCGCTTTAAACGCCGTGCTACTGGTTTCGTTGTACTTCAATGTTTTCTTCTTAAAAAGAGGAAGTTAATAAAAGAAATTAATAGTACCTATATGAAAACTAAAAAATGAGATAGAAGGACACTAAAAAAAGTCTCCGATGCACATAATGCCGTAAAATTCTATATTATAAACATCATTGCCGGCATTTTAAAGTATTTTGAGAAAACAAAAAAAAAAACAACTCATCAATATCATTGAATTCGTACAGAAATTATTCATTTATTGTATTATGGTATAAAATGGGGACCTTACTGATGATAACAGAGCAATAAATAATTTCGGATTCTTGTACATTCCATATTATATATACGTAATATAGTTTTACTTATAAGAAGAAATGGTTTATAAATTTTGGGGAATAATTGTCTGTTAATGATAACTGACACTGACATATACGTCACTTATGTCAAATTCCTGTCAAATTCTAAAGTTTTTCTATGATTTTGTAAATATCAAATATAAAATAAATTTTCATTTTAAAGTAAAAAAAAAAGCTAAAAAACGGAAGAATCTTGTAGTTGGTGCTAAAACGTTAAACTATGGTATTATTTTATCAACTTCTTAAATTTAATAATAATTACTCATTTCACTTTCCAACGGATCACTTGTGCGGCATTTAACAGAAACGGGTTAGATTCCCATCACTATATTATTAAACCTACGATGTAATAATAAATTTATTGAAATTAAATATTTTTGAATTCATTCCAAAAAAAAAAAACAAAAAAAAATATATACGTCATCGTTTAAAGCACTTACATACTTTTATTATAAGGATTGAAAATTGAAGACGATCGCTTTGCTTTTGAAGTTGAATTGACAATTTATTCCCATATTAATAATCCTTAAAGTTATATGTTTATCAAAACAAGTCAATAAAAAATTTTAAGGAACGTATACCTACATAAATAACTATTGAAATCACTTGCTTGAAATATATTTTTTAATACAATTTATTTATACAAGAAAAAAGCTTTCTCTTGCAAAGTGCAGTAATGATATTTTGTTGTGATTCACTTTTTAACAAATCTCGTGGGAAAAACTCAGTCAAATTTGGTTTGGAAAAAAAAACATGGAAAAAAAATTTAAAAACATTTATTGTTTAACGTTTTTCTGTCTTTTCTTTGCATAAAATTCATCTCTTGTTCAAAAAAAAAACAAAAAGTGAATATAAATTGGGAGGATGAGTTGAGGATGAGAGGCTTTTCGGATAATTTGTTTTTATTTTGCGTTTTTTTTATTTTAATTAAGGTATTTACAAGTAAACATACATACATGTTTATACGTAATTTTGTATATATAACTAGGTAAGAATATGTGATTTATTTATTTATCTTTGTTTAAAAAAGGGTATGCATGTTGAATTACTTGCCATCATTTATATCATTCACTGTATACATTTATTACATTGTACTTCTGTACGTACAACAATGCTAAAATGTAAGCTTGTAAGTTAAGCCTTTAAAACTATAAATTCCGCAGTATACTTATAAAATGGTTTGAATTTTGTAATTTAATAACAACAATAATGACAAGAACAACCAATAATTGAACAATAACAACAATGATAACAATAATATTAACAACAATCGAAACATTGGAAAATTAAACCAAAAACACAAAAGAAAAGAAAAAGCACAAGATAACATCAACAACAACATTGACATGGAGATTACAACAATAAAATTTGAATCGTGGGAATAAAAAATTCATTTTAATGATGTTGGAGACGAATTTATTTTGCAAAAACAAAAAAAAAAAACTAATTTGAAAATAACAAATTTAATATAACAACAGAGAATTTCAAATTTTACAGTGAAAATTGATAACTACACATAAAATACTAATTGAAGAATTCTAAAACTAATCACTTATTTGAAGAAATTTTGAAAAAAGAATTTTTGGGATAATTTAGAGAACAAAGTTGTAATAGATTTGAACAAGGAAATCAGAAAATTATTAGTAAGAGTTCATAAAGTTTTACGAAAAAAGATTTCATAATATACCAATTTATTTATTAGTATGTAAAGGGTGATGTATACAGCTTTTTATACAGAAAACTATAATACAAGCCTATACAAGCTTGGCTGCCTTTTTCCGTCATATGAATTTAGTATTTTTAATATGAAAATAATGTAAGATTACCAGATTATGCTTACCAGATATATGCATAAAACATTGTGTTAAAGTTGCTATAGCAAATCCAGATGCTAAAGCTGTTGATAATAATACTGATGATACACTAGCACCAACTCCAGCACCAGCCGCAGCTCCACATACTATAAAAACGTAGAAAAATGATGCCAAACATTCAGCTATTATTGATCTGAAATTGAAAGGAAATTGTCATTTATAGAAAATTGTTAAATGTAGATAAAATTTCATGAATTTGTTTGTATAAATTGTGTGTGAGTCTAACTCCTAGTTTATTCCGGTATTCCAATTACCCTGGTATTGCATAATACCAGTTCATGTAAGACACCTCTGGGTGAAATGCAAATCTACTTTCAAAATGTTGACTCCGTATACTATCTTAGATTTTACTATTCACTTTGTTCAGCCCCCTTAAAGTTTACTCCGAAGAAGTAATGTTTAGTAAGTACAACTGTAGATGGCCAAATTCAGTCAGTTTATGTTTTTTCTCTCAAAACTCCGGTTTGAATCTTTTGGAATGTAAAAATCCGGAATACGATTATTCCAAACGTTTTTATTATATTTTAAAAGTAATTTATCGAACGAATTATTCCAATTCTTTAAAACGCGAGATTTAATTATTGAGTACATATACAAGTGTTTATTTAGATTTTTAGTTAAATTCAGTGACTGCATAAAATGCTTATTTCCATAATTAAACATGTATAAAGTGCATATTTCCATAATTAAACAGTATTTTAGAATTTCGGTTTAAATTTGAACACATACATATATATGTTCAGCTATGAGGTCGTGATAAGTTAGTTCATAATTCATATGTAAATTTTCAAAAAAAAATTTATATACTATGTAAATCACAATAAAGATATGTGAATATATTTCGAATTCTCTTTAAGTAAAATATTGTAAAGCATCTATCAAATAAATTTGAAATGTGAAAAAAATTCCACAGCACATTTATCATGAATTCAATTGATACAATTTTATCTATACGGTCTGTTCCATGTCAAAATAATTTTACTTTTTAATTTCTTTTTAAAATTATTGAATTTTTTTTAAAGAAAATAAAATTTTTCTTTCTGTACGAATTTTTTAACAAAAAGCAACCCGAAATCATTAATCAAAAATTTTTCATAACTGAATAATTTAATATTTCAATTTTATGGCATTCAAAAAATTTCTTTTGACTTGTCGGATAAAGAAGTTCTTAGAAAACGTCTATATGTACATATATAAAAGATATAGACAACTTTTATAGAGTTCAACTTAATTTAAAAAATATTTTAGAAAAAGATATTTAGTTACCTTTAGATTAAATTAGATTTTTGGTTGACATAATAGATGATTTTGTGGCATAAATATTGTTTATTTATAAACAGTACTTAAATTAAATAAGTTTAGTGTTTTGCATAAAAATAAATTGGGTATGAAATATTAAAATTCAAATTCGGTACTAATTTTATATAAAACATTATACACTCTGTTATTTTTGGAAAACTTTTTACTTTCAAGTCTAGAATAACATTGAGTTCAAGGAAAATTGTTTGTTTTTAAAATATTTGACATTTTTTACAACTTATTCTCTAATCTATGTGATAAGATAATACGTCTATTGCAACTAATAATAAGTCTATTGCAACCAACTTTCTAAAATATTCTAAAACATTTATTAATCTGAAATAATTACAAATTTATTATGTTTGCAAAAATGTAAGAGCCAAAACGTGACAAGAAAAAAATTTACTAACCAACATAATCCATGGGTTGCACAAAAATTTCCGCTTATACTGGACGTAAAATTTTGATAAAAATTTTTTATTTTACAATTAAGGAATTAGTTTTTTTTTTGATTTGTTTAGAAATTAATTCATTTGTATCATCCACAGGAACATATAATGAAAGATTGCCGAGATTCAAGATGTTGTTATGTATACTATTCCTGAGAGGAACGTTAAATATACTTGGTGAACTTTGCATAATGGGTAGTATTCTAGACAATGGGATTGTATGCATTCAGACGAGCGGAAAACCAGAACATTTTAGGAGCTAGTTCTCCGAATTACTTGTCAGTAATCAGGCTTTTAAATTCTTTGTACGTTTACATCATCTAGTAAGTATTGTTCATTTTTCCTGACCTGCATTTTATAAACAGTTGACCTTGTTCAAATGTTGCACAAATTTTTTGAAAATACTCTTCACAGTTCTTGACAAGTTTCATTTTAATTGACATCACTGTATAATTTTAACATTAAAATGCCATATTGTTAAATAAGTAATCTAAAAATTGTTTTTTCCCACTTTATTTCCAGAAAAAAATTCTTTTTTTTTTGAAAATGTTTCAATTTGATTATTTTATCACGTAAACTGAATATTCATAATAATTTTGCTATTTCTATACATATACAAGTTTTATTCGTTTTAAAAATCACCCTCATATGTATTATTCCTCCTCTACATATGTATAATAACGGGCCAAGAAACAAAATCAAGAAAAAGACAGCAAAAAAAAAACCATTTCTTTAAAGAAACCAAGTTAAAATTCCAGATTCAATTCACCTTAGGTAAAAAAAATATGTTGTTTTTTTTTCACCTATACACAGGTAACAGATTTTTTTTTCTTTCTTTAAAGTCGTGAAAAGAAGAAGGTAATCAAAAGATAAGGTCAAAAATTGCAGCTGTCCCATTTTTCTTAATATTTATGTACAAGTTCTATACATTTAAATATGTTTATATGAATGTATGTACTTGGGTATGTTTGGAGATACGAGAATATCTTTATTTGATTTCTTTATTCGATATAATGCCCATACAAACGTTGTATTCATATATATAGAAAAAGTGTACATACTTAAGTAAGTATGTATAAGTGCAATATGTAGTATAAATTATGTGATTTTAATATTTTATCAATGTCGGAATACTTTTACATTAAACGCAAGTTGTTTTAAAATTTGATTTTTTAAATTTAAGAAAAATCTTTTAATAAAAATTCCTTCAGTAATTTAAAAGCATGTCCTATAAAATTATTAAATAATATTAAATTAATATAAAATTGCTTATTTGGTTATTACTTTAACTACTTAGTTATTTCAAAACTCGGCAAATTTAAAGAGTATGAAATTTTTCAGAATGGGCTTGGAAAAGAAAGGCAGCACGTTATAAGTGGGTGACCGTTCTGACTTTAGGTAGTATGTTATTATAATTTGCTACTCTTTTAAAATTTAACAAAATTTTATTCATACAGGCAAATGGACTGCGAAATTAATACATGAAAAAAGAGTACAGAATGCAGTTTTTATCATAAAGTGGAGGGAACCTTTTTTCATATTTGGCTGGATGCCAAATGAAAGAAGGTGAAATGATAAATCTTTCGGCTTTGTATAAACTATAATATTACACAATGTTGTGGAAGTAATACTAGAGAGTGAGGATAAGCTGAATGCGATAGTGAAATATTTAGAAACAATGTTTTGTAAAATGGAGAGAATAATACCTCTTAAGAATCCAGAAAAACAGAAGCAAATAAATCGGCTCGACTCTAATTAATGCAAACAATTGTCTGATGTTGAATAAATGGAGTATTAAGTGGATATACACTTTAATACGTTTATTGAAGTGACAAGTTTAGCATACATATTTCAGATGTTAAGTTCAAGATGAGTAATTCATAAAATCTCAATTAGGAATGTTCTTAGGAACTCAATTTTACTGGATTGGAACTTTCTATAAAACTTCCTAAAAATTTTTATATTTTTGGAAAAATTATTTACTTATGTAGATGTGTATTAAAATACACATGTAACAATAGTAACACGCAGCAACGAAAGTGGTGATAATTTAAGTGATAATTTTTATTTATTCTTTAATATATTTCATTTAAACTATAATATTTGATGTGCTATTTAAGATTTGTATATGTATACGTTCAACATTATTTGCGCTATTTACATCTCATTATCTTTTATAGATTTTCTAAGTGAAGAATGTATTGCAGAAAATAGAATGTTCTCTGTATTCAAGTATATCAAAAGTCAAATTCGCTGTTATATTTATTAGGACTACATCAAATTAAACCAGCTGTATCAAAAATTAATCAGAAGTCCACAGGAACCGCAGGAATTGTTTTGCTCATAATTTCTATAGATCTATTGGCACTGAAATTGTTAACTTTCAATAAGTCAACCGAAGTTTGTAATTGAACATATTATTTGTTTGGTGCCTATCCGGACACACAACAATATACTTTAATCAAGCAATAGTGGCCTAGTTATAAATATCTATGGAACTTTTGGATTTTTACTCACTGATCTTATTTCTATCATCTATTCGAAACAACGGATTTTTTAACAAATATTCAAATAAAATTGACAAATAAATTATTAGTACATGACTTTTAAACTGGATTCTTGTGAATCGTTGGAAACAAAAAAGCCAAATGAGATCTGTCAAAGATTTGGTTTGTGCCGACCACGGAAAAATACGAAATATCAAAGGTATTTCAAATAAAAACTTTTTTTTTGATATTTTTATTCCATAAAATTAATTTTTTTTTATTAAAGTGACTTCTTTTATTTAATTTTTATACGGTTCATTATATGCATTTTATGAACATTTTAAAAATTTTTATTGTAATATCAAATAGGTATTCCGGTCCATGTATTTGTATATATGAATGTATAAAAATTTATTGTTCTGGTTCGATTAAAAAGTCATTCTTACAAATAAATAAAAAAATATGTGCTTTATATTCATTCATACTTATGTACACACAATCATGCATGATAATATATATGTATGTGCAATTTATATAGAATAAATAATAATTTATTTTTTTCTTTAAATATTGATTTGAGAACTATATTGTTCGTTCTATACATTTTATAAGTAATACTCAGCTAAATAAAAGAAAATTTTGGTTTAATTCACTAATACTTACTTTAAATTTAAATAAATTGTATAAATTTATGTTTTGTATACGTAAATGTATGTGAGTTTTCATATCAGTATATATTTGTATATTTCTAAGAATTTATTAAAATATTTATTCTTTTTTATGACTTTATGGGTTATTCAATATAATTATACTTGTAAGTAAGAATAGAAAATATGAGAAGCATTGAACATTTTTGAATAGAAAATTTATTTATCTTGAAATATGAGTATTTTGTAAAATATAAAAATGAAGAATTCCAAAAAAATTACTATAATGAAAAATTACGATTCAAAAAGACAAAATTTGCTTTATTTGCAAATTTAAACAAAAAATAAGGAGGAGCTGTATACAATGATATTAAAATTTTTAGAATCATCGCAGAATTCAATGTGCTATGTAGGTTTGTATATTTACGTATGCATTTAAAGTAAAATATATGCAAGTATATTTGCTTGCTATTTTAATCTATATAAATACATAGTTAAAAATTGATAAGTGATCGAATTATCAAAACAAAATTTTCGAAATGATTTTTAGCTATGCATGCATAATGCTTTAGAAAAATCTACCCGATTATGTTAGTGTAGGAGATTGTGTTTTTAAAATAATTTATGTAGATGGAAGTATGTATATTTGCATTAGCTATATGTATTTCAAAATTCATATTATATTTTTGATAATTTTTAATAAAAATAAGTGGGTACCTTTAAATGGAAAATTTTGTAGTTTTTCCCTATTTCGATTGCTATCATGAAATTTTAACAAATTAAGTATTTATGAAAATTCAAATTTTTTGGAATAAATCGAAAAATTTGAAATACGCGTATATTTAATTTTTTAAATTTTTGAACCAAATTTATAAATATATTTCATATTTACATACTTGAGAAACTAAAATTTTTCGAAAATTTTAAATAATTTCATAAATTTATATATACCTTAAGAACATCCGTTTTTTAACATTAAATTTTAAAATTTTGAATTTACATTAAGTATTTCCAAAATTTATTTTATATTTTACAAATAGGGTTTATTAGTTTTTTTACGCATGTTGCCAGAATATAATTATAGTTTTAAATGTATATTTAATTTTAACCTTAAATTTTAATTATTAGTTTTTAACTACAAGTTAAAAACTTGTAGTTAAAATTCAAGTGTTCAATTACACTTGAAATTTTTATTATATCTGCCGTAACTAGTCTATATTATATAATATGTATTCAGATTGCAAAACTACTTTTTAATTTGAATCAAATGATTATAGTTGAATAAAAGTATTTTCATGTTATTTGCAGTAGCTGTAAATGTATGTATTTAAATTATTTTCCTAATTATGGATTTGAAATTAAAAAAAATATGTAATGTACAATGCACATACGTACATACACAGGAAAAAAAAGGATATGGGATTTATAAATTTGATCGACTATTTATACAGAAAAATTTATGTGTATATTGTACAATATAATTTAAATTATTGACAACTAAATAGTTTGGAAAATTTAATGTTGTAGGAAAATAACTACGAATCTGTACACATTAAGCATGTTAAATATATATATATGTATATATAGTTTATGATAATATGTAAAGTAAAATATAAACTTTTTAAAATCTATATTAAAATTCCATAAATGATATATTATGATGTTTCTTATCCTACAATATTGACTCTCAAATAATCATAGTTATTATGGAACTTATATTCTAACCGAATAAGCATTGAAAAAGCATGGTATACGCACTGATAAAAAGGAGCGTGTTTGTGTGTGTGCTACGTTGAAATTGTTAAAAATTCAAAAATATGATTTCACATTGATTGGTATGGTAAAATGGATTTTATGATAATAAAATGATAGTATAATGAATTTTTTCAATAATGCACTTTGAGTGATTTTTTTAGTATTTGATTTTTCATGTTCTCATTTCTATTAAAAATTTTATTGTTCGTTACAGTTGCCAACATCAAATCAACATAATTTAATTAAAAGAAACTGGCGCTCAAACAAATATTAGCAAATAACAAAATATGACGAAAGTATTCGTTAAACTGTTAAACGAATATTTGTTAAACAACTAACTTCACATTTGGACCTGCAAATCGACTGCGAGATCATTCGAGACTTGAAGCGGCTGGCGATTTTTTTCTCAGGAAATATTTAATAATTTTGTTTAAATTGAGGAAATGGCTTTGATTTCAGCTCTTGATATTAAACATGAACCGCTGATATTTCTGTGGAAATATATGAAAAATTAACTTAAAAAAGGATCCTTTGAATGGGCAATTTAAGGCGTGTTTAACTTATGGATCACTAAAAGGTTAAAATATTGTGTGCTTTTCTTTATATTTAAAACACTTTAAAAATCATCCTACATAAAATGTGTGAGTATTAAAAAATTTTATTTTTGAATTTAGCATTTCTTAACTTTAGAATTAATGTAAGATTTGCCTATGAATGCTGCACAGTTCAATATTGGAGAAATTATTTCATAAAATTAAATTTGAGTCATAATTTTTATCATTTTTTTAAATGAAACAAATTTTTAATTTGATACTGAGAAATAATAATTTAAAAAAAAAATATGGTAACATATTAGTGTTATCATTTTTTGAATGTTAAAACTATCACCATAATTTTAGAAAATATTAAATCATAGTAGGTACTAATGTGAATTAATCAAGGAAAAAGCAAATTTTCAAATTGAAGGTTAACCTTACATTATATTATTAAGGGTTTGATTCATCAAATAAAGAAGAGCCAACAAATTTTTATTTTAATATAATAAGAAAAATACTATCGTGTACCAAAAAAACTTACCTCCAAAATTCTAATGTTCGAATTTCAGCATGCATACTCCTTTTTGGTTGCATTATTGTCGATGATAAATTATTCCGATTACGTCCAAAGCTTGTATTATCTTTACGTATTGCTTCTAATCTCTCAAATAATGTGACAATATGATAATCCAAATTCTGATCCGATGGTATGTGTAAGCTTTCATCAGCCATTATTTTTTTTCTTACTTTAAATTTTACTAAAAATTGTACTTTTAGTATCTAAAATTTTGTTTATAAGTTGAAATGGTTTCTATTTCAATTAAATTTATAAAATTTTTTACAAAACGTTCAAAAATATTTTTTTTTGAAGAAAATTCTCAATTTTTTCACTTTAATATTATATAAACTAATATTTTTCACATTTAATATTCACTGTATATAATATTAAAATTTCATTGCATAAATTTTTATTCATTAATTCACTTAATTAAAATATTCATTTTCAATTAACATAAATTGATTTCAATTAAATTCAAATTGATCTTAAGATCATACACTTTTTTTTTATATCTAAGTCACAAAAGAAATTTTTTTATATATTTTAAAAAACGAAAAATTGTTTTGGTGATCAAGGTTTTCAGATTTTTTAATTAATAAAATATAAAAATAAAGTAAAAAAAGGAGTGTAAAAATTATAATAGTACATTAATATTTTTATTTATAATTTGTAAATGAAAACAGTTTAATTATGTAAACAACAATAATTTATTTCCACAAATTCCATTTAATTTCGCGCCAAAACTAAATAGCGAACAACGTCTGACCACGACGAACAGACATCAACGAATGAGATGAAAAATATAAAATTTTCAATCCTATACCAATAATAGAAATACTGTACGAACTTTAAATTTCTTATAATTTATAAAAAACATTATTATTATTCGTTTACTGCCATAACACAACATAGCTTGTTCCTATTTATCCCATCACTCACTTCATGTTATAAGAATAAAATAAACGGTAGAGAATAAAAATACAAATTTTTTATTATCATTTTCACATGCATTTGTAGTTCAGTAGCTGAATCAAATTATTTTTTTGTGTCTAAATATACTTTGTTATTGAATTTTTCTTATCAACTGCACGAAAAATAACAATAAAAATGAAAGAAACAAAACCAATTGTCAAGCAGAATAGCATTCTCTTTTATACAATGGTGTTTAACATTGCCATTAATATTTGCGTTTTTCACTAGTACTCGTACGGCACTACCATGCAATTATTGCTATCTGTTAATATTCTGTTTAGCATGCTAAAAATAGTATGTAAGAAAATTTATATTCATTTTTATACAGATTTAATTCATTGTATGAATTCAACCCTAAAAGCCGGTGCACACACAACAAGTGTGTTACGTTATTATATAAGTAAAGAAATACTGTCGAGACAGTAGTTAATTTGTCTGTTGTTTAGTTGTATTGAATAATTAACATGTATTATGTTTTTGCTGTTATATTATTGTTTTAAAGTTATTTCTGTTATTTTTCCTGTTATAAAGCCTTTATTGTATTGTGAAATTTTTTCATAAATTAAAAATTGCAGCAGGAAAATCTGTAAAATAGAATATTGAACTCTAGAATTTTAGGGTTCATAATATTTCGTCATGCCAATATTTGTTTTGTTGTACGGTAAAACAAAAATTTTGTCCATTGACTTGGGTATTCTTTAAAGTGTTTTTAAAGGCGTTTTAAATTGAAAATTTTTAAAAATATTTAAAAAATTAAGGGAGGAAGAAACAGTCTTTTTTTTTTAAAGCCGATAAAAAAGATAATAGGATCCGCGATTATTTGAAATAAAAGATTAAGATGTATCGTTTTGAAATTTAGTACTCTTTTATTTTATGACTAAGAGATGTAAAGGAGAAGTTTTATTACAATATTAATATTAGTTTGAAAATTGTTATATGAATTAGCAATCAAATAAATTTTAAGAATCTAAAGTCATAATGAATAAAGTGATTGACTGGACTGTCTTCAATAAAACAGTTTTAATTACAGTTTGAATTGAATCCTTATTGAAATTCTGTGAGTATTAAAAACTTATAGGCATTTGTTTATTTTTTTAGACAGAAGAAATAATTCAGATTTAGTAGACAGAAATTTTCTAAAATTTATGAAAATTTTGTTCGCATACATTTATTGATGTACATATATATATATATTTACAGGTGTCCTTAGTCTTTTACATTTTGATAATGAACAGTCAGTCATCTTGTAAAATAGTTTCTAATTTATTTATCATCTAAGATTGATTATATACAAAGAATCGTTTCATGGAATCCAAGTTGAAGACTTTTGCATAAGTAAATGTGGACATACCAAAATATTTATTTATGCAATTGACTTTTTTAACGACTTGAATTTTTTCGACTTTTATTGATTTTAAAGCGTCTATTTTGTATATTATATCATTAGAGATTTCAGTTCAAATTACTTGCAGTGAACGCTTAAATACGTACATGCTCGTATGCGTTTAAAAATTAATATGCATAGAATGTATTTCGAACATTTTGTATCAACACGTTGAATTAGAAAGATAGATACTCCTATGGTTATCGGTATAATAAGTGTCTTCTCGCGTGACTGTGCTATGCTTCAGTATAAACAATATCTAGAAAACAAGAACTTTCTATTGTTGTGTTGGGAAGTAAAATTTCAGTCCACTTCCAATTTTTCAATGTATTTACACTCATAAAACATAATTGGAGCTAATGTGAGTGTGTTGTGTATATAAATTTAAATATAGAAATCTATTTTTTTGCAAAAAAAACTATCATTGCAATCATGATTATCATTTTCGTTGTTATTTATAAATAAGTTTCATTAAAAAATTTTAAACCTTAAAAAAATTATTAATAATAATTTTATATTCATTATTTTTTTAGACCTCATTATTCTTATACCTAAATTTAAAATGAATCAGCATTTTAACCCTTTCATTGTGGACCATATATGTAATATATACCAAATGCATAGTAAGAGGAGGAAATCGGAAATATTGTTAAACCCAGTTACAAAATGGTGTGAATTATAACAAATAGATTGTCATCCTGTCGAATAACTCTTTTATCTTATATATACCAATATATATAAAAATGTGGTACAAATGTGAAATATCAATTGGGGTTGCCTATAAGGTCAACGAATAAACAAACCATAATTAAGGAAACATATGAAAAAATCTGTTTTTTTCTTAATTGCACACACGTACATACGTAAAGATATATTAATATGGTAAAGATATAAATTTATATCATAAAAATATGATATTTTATATTTTAACATGACATATTTCCAATTTATAGTTTTTATGAAAGGGTTAAAATTTTTCATATTGCGTTGCATTTGCACTGAAAACAAGAATTTTATGCTTTAGAATCTCCTTCTATTCCTTTAGGATGTTCAAGTGCATGTAAAATGTACATAATATATATGTATTTTCTTTGTTCCTCTTCGATTATTTGAGGGTATTATTTATTTAACGTGACATACATTCTTAGAATAATGACAATTCAAAGGAAATAATTTTTTTTACAGTTTTAATTTTAAATTAATTTTATATAAAATTTTATGGTTCAATTTGAATATTTAGAAGTTATTAGAAGAATAAAATATCAAATATTTCTTGGAATTCAAAAGAAGGATTAATATTAATTTTAAACATTTTTAGATAATTCGAAAAAAGATTGTAAGTTTCCCAGAATCCAAATTCCTCCCTCATAATTTCAAAAATATATATTAAAGGGTTAATTTTATTTTTTTTTTAGATAGCTACATGAGAATTTTAATGACTTTTGATTTTAGATTTGTGAGGCTATTGACCCTATAAAAAACATATTTTTTTTAAATTAAATTTTATTTTAAAATATTTTTTTTATACATGATTGTAGTTACATGATTTAATAAAGTAATTATGTAATTTTTAAAATTCAGAGAAAGTTTACAATAATTTTTAAATTATTTAAACATAGTAGATACATACGAACATACATAAATAAAATTAAATTCTTATTTAATTCGACGTAAGTATGTACATTGCATAATTACTCTTTGATGTTTTTGATGTCTTAAAAGTAATAAAGTTTTTATGTCGTGTGAAATTTTAAACATTTGACTTAATTATTGCAAGGATATTAAAGAATATTAAACAACATTATTAAAAAAACAAAATTAATGCCGTTTTGCAAAAATTTTGTATATACCTACATATATACATTAATATTTTACATTTTATCTTATTAAAATAAATACGATAAAACATCTTATCTCTATATATATACATATGTGCGGATACAGTGCTTACAATGAAAATTTGTTTAAACAGATATTACAATAGAAAATTTGCGTGTATTATAGTTAGTAGCTTTCTAAAATATAAATAATTGGTTTTTTAAACTATAAATAATTGATTCCTTCTGCCGAGAATACAAACAAATTTCTGTACAATTTTTTACTGTATTTCAGGCTACCTAGACGAGGAGGGTAATGAAAAAGAAAATGTTGATGTACGGATGGCATTTTGCGAAATTTGATAAAGTTAGATCCACGAGAACCTTTTGGTTTTGCGAGAGGTGGATTAACTTAACACTTCCTAGTGACTGTGAGGCGTCAATTTATATAGGAAAAATAATTGTTCGAAAGGATTTAATTTCATTTGCATTTATTTATGCAAGTAATTCTCAAAAAAACCGCTTGACTGTTACAAAATTTAAATTTCAGTTTTCTCTGGCGCATCATCTGAAAGATTAGTTTGGGGCATCAAAAAAGCATCTCAAATCTATATATTCTATTTGATTAATTTAAGGTAAAGTCATCGAATACTAACACTCTTTACTGTATAATGGTTTTTATTGTCAAATTTTTCAAGTTAAAAGCAAAGGAAAAAAAAATATTTTCAAATTTTTATATTGATTGTTTAGAGAAGGAAATGTTAAATTTTAATTTTAACGCGGGGATACTTTGATGACAAGTTCATTTGGTTTTTTTTTAAATAAGCAATTATCGTTTAATTTTGTTATACCAATTATAAATGAACAAGAATTTAAATTTGTTCAAGAATTTGCTACAAAAATTAAAATTTTTTAAAGTTTTTAATGATTCGCCTTTAATTTTATAATGTTTTATAGAAAAAAAAGTTTATTAGTTCACAACAATAAATTTTTTATAATATTGAATTCTTTGTTCTATAAAGTCGATGGTGTTAATTTTTGTAGTTTATAATGTTTATGAGGCTGAT